CTTATAGATGAAAATGCCGACAACCAAGCGGTCTGGTTTAATACAGTCGATAAGATGATTGAAAAGTGAAAGACAAATTACCTTCTTATGACGATGCATATCCATAGTTTAGCTAATAAAGTTCACTAACTTTTTTGTGGAAAAGATACAGACTGTAAGAATCAATGTGGTTCTAGCGACCAATGTGTTCTAGCGAGGATAGTATAATATATAATAATAATGTTCTGTGATGGAACTTCATGAATTTACATACATTACCAAAGAAGAACTATCTCCTCTTATATCCCGTTTGGTTGGGAAGTCTTGTATCTTAGATCCTATATGTACCTGGTTACATCTTAAGGGACTGCATTGAAGAATTGCCACGACCTGTTACAAGAATTATCAACCTCTCATTACAAACAGTTGTGATGCCTAAAGACCTCAAGGAAGCCGTCCAGAAACCGAAGATCAAAAAGGCTTAACTTGACAATGAAATATTTCCTAGCTATCGAGCTATTTCTAATATTCGGTTCTTGGCGAAAGCTACAGAGAAGTGAGAAGGTTGTTGCACATAAACTAGACCGTCACCTGACCAATTCGAATATTCATGAAGTTTATCAGTCAGAGCTCATACAAGCAGGGACATAGTACAGAAACAGCACTTGTGAGGGTACATAATAATATTCTACGTGGAATTGACGAAGGTGGTTATGTGGTCTTGTTACTATTGGATCTTTCTGCAGCTTTTGATAAGGTATACCATGACATATTACTTGACCGTCTCAGTATCGTCTTTGGCATAAAGGAAAGGCGCTTGCATGGTTTAGATCGTACTTATCAGATCTAGCTCGATTTGTGCAGATAAATGATAAATGATTCTTCTCACCATCATAACTTGACCTGTGGTGTTCCACAGGGCTCTGTACTTTGGCCTATTCTTTACTTGTTATATACAGCGCCCCTTGCAGATGTCATCAGACGCCATAAAATGTGTTACCACTTCTATGTTGAGATGATCAAATTTATATGACGTTCAAACCATTGATTAATGAAACCATTGAAAATCAGAGATCCACCATTGAAGCATTTTCCAGAGATATAAATTACTGGATGAGTACCAACAAGCTCAAACTTAACAATGGTAAAACTTAATTACTTGCAATACAAACCTCTCATCGACCATTACCATTACAGAGCATTTACTTTGGTACAGAATAGACCTTAAGCCTTATCACGTCATAAGGCTTAAGGTCTATTAATTTAATCAAAACGATCTGCGAAGAACATTGCTGGATAGTTTGATAACACTATGTCCATGAAGAAACAGGAGAATGCCATCTGTAAGAAAGCTTTCTACCATCTAGGAAATATAGCATCAATAAAAAAGTTTTATCGCAACGACATTGTGAAACCTTAATGCGCGCTTTTTTGACGTCATCATTAGATTATTTTAATTCACTTTTGAATGGTCTGCCACAATATCAAATGAAGAAATTACAACATGTACAAAATGCTGCGGCTCGTCTCCTTACTGCTACTAGAAAACGTGAGCATATAACACATAGACTAAAGGAACTCCATTGGCTTCTAATTAAAGAAAGAATGGATTTAAGATTTAATACTCACGTTCAAGGTGCTAAGTGGAACGGCACCAAAATATTTATCAGATGTTTTAACTCCATAACGAATAAAGGACTTTTAGTAGTACCAAATTGTAATCTTAAATTATATGGGAGAAAAGCTTTCTCTGTTGCTGCACCAATGTTGTGGAATGCTCTAACAGATGATATTAGGATTTAGGAATGCAACTTCTATAACTATTTTTAAAAATAAATTAAAGACTTTCTTATAAAACTTCTTATGAAACATATTAATTAACTACTTAAGTAGTAAATTGTTATAATAGAAATAGTATTTTTAATATAAACAGTGTAAAGTGCCAATGGTTGATTAGAAGAAATGGCGCTTTATAAATGATTAAATATTATTATTATTATTGTCCAATAATGACTTTTGCAGCCCTGTTCTGCATTTTCTGAAGTAAAGTCTATCACGCAGATATAAGCCAAACAAGATAATATTCCAAACAATGCTACTGAAATCAAAATGAGGTTCTGTGACATTTTGTTATATTTTAGTCAACTATCAACTGTTTCAACCCCTTATGAGTGATTTAATGGTTTTCCACATAGATTTTGGATCCTTATTGGAGAATTTATGGCATTATTGAAATCAAAATGAGGTTCTGTGACATTTTGTGATATTTTAGTCAACTATCAACTGTTTCAACCCCCTATGAGTGAGTTAATGGTTTTCCACATAGATTTTGGATCCTTATTGGAGAATTTATGGCATTATTGTAAGAATATTTTAAGTGTCATTTTGCACACTTCTGTAAGTTATTTTGAGCCTTTTTATACGCATAATTTCCATTAAGCTAACATGAAAAATAATTTAACATGTTTTGACTGCATATTTTAAGAGATAATCACTACTTAAGGGTTAGAGACTGTTGTGAGTGTTTTGTTGACAAATAAACGCACGCGCTGACCATACAATGAACGAGACATTTCGAGCTCATTGTATGGTCAGCAAGTGCATTTATTTGTAAACAAAACACGAACATAAAGTCTCTAACACTTTTAATATGCAATCTGAGTTCATTGATTGCTGCATTGAAGATTTAACCTACGCTGCAGGCTGTCATTTTTGAATAAACTACGATTTTCATGGGTTATTGCGAATAAACCACGATTTTCATGATCTGTCGCCATCTGTTGCAGGCGACAAGAAACCACGTGATTGATTTTGACCAATCGCGTGAGTAGATTTAGGCCAATGCACGAAGACGATACATTAAAGTATGATAATCATTACATCTCTGACCTTTCCGTTTACTTCGTACATAAATATACCTATACCAACAAAAATCGGTTGATGGTAAGAATTAAACACAATGAACTATAGAAATTGATTTTCAAAATCGAATCATAAACACTATTCACTATTGTTACAAAAAGGCAATCACAAAACTCGATCATATAAGGAAGATACTATATATCTCAGACAACCCGTCGCATTTTAAAGAGAGAAGTTAAAAAATTTGGTTATGTTTTTTTCTTGCTATTATTGCATGTCCTTAGTTTTTTCATTGTTTTGGATTTGTTCGATTTTAGGCTAATTTAAGCACGGATAATAAAATCAGTCTTTTAACTATCTATGATTTAAGACATCTGAAACTACTTAGACCCCGTTTACACTAGAACGAAAGTTTCCGGATTTGTAAAATTTTCCGGATTCATTGTTACACACATGTATCGGATTCGTCAGGTGTTTACATTACACTTTAGCTGTCTCTGTATGCGGATTTGTCGGTTTACACTCACATTACTTGTTCTTGGAGAATTGTTTGGTCGTCATATCGAATTTCTTCGGATTCGTCGTGCAAAGCGTTTACACAAGAAAATTTTCCGGATTCAAATGTTTCTGGATACGAAGTTTCCACAAACTTTTACGGATTCAACGTTTCCGGATACGGCTTAAAACCGAGTACATTTTCTATCGGATTCGTTGCTGCGTGTGTAAACAGCAACATGAATCCGGTACTAAAACATTCCGCTTTCGTGATGAATCCGAAAACTTTCGCTGTAGTGTAAACGGGGTCTTAGAATTGTTTCTTCATCTTTGTTACCTATAATTCGTTTGTAGAATCACTGTGGCGGTCATTAACATTTACCAGGGAAGGCATTCGCGGAGGTGTCGATTAAACAAGATCGTTAACACCCAAAATCATTTTCACTATTCGGTTTTATTTATTTTTTATTTTTAGATCAGTGGTTTTATCGTCGCTATCTTTTTCGAAATTTCTTTATATTCGCTCGTCATATGACTTTCTAACAGCAATCTTTAATTCTCGTACCACCGGACATACCAAGACGATAATGTCGGTTGTCTTTCCCTCTTTACAACCTTCACGGAGAACTTTCGTGTTTCGATGGCCTTATCCAAACACAGGCTTCGACCAATCAGAACACACGTTATATACATGTTATTTTATAATACTTAATAATACCTCATTATTATAAATCGATGTAATAATTTAAAGCCTCCAAGCCATTTACACTTAATTACACCATCATCGCGTTTTTCTAGTACTGTGCAAATTTTAAAAGAAGTAAGGTATTCAGAAAAAAATATGTTAGTCTGAGCATTTCATCATCTGGTCTATTCATCATTAAAAAACAATCAATAAAATCTCGAAAAGTAAGAAATCAGTATGTGTTGTGGAATTCTCGCTAATATATCTTTCACGCCCGTTTAACCTCGCGACTGTATTCAACCAACCGCGACAACAAGCGAAACCTGCACCACTTTATATGTTTAATACATCTGTGAATACATGTATTTGACAGTACAGATACTAAATTACAGAATCATTTTACCTTTGTTACAAAATATTGGGTTATATTTATAGTGTTTTTTAAGGAATCATGCATAACTTAGGACCTACGTTAAAGGAAGAACATTTAATTGCTTACTTATTTATGACCTTTTGCTCTTCAGCTCTTCCAAGAAAAAATAGTAATGTGTATTTTCTTTGTATAGGTTTTCAATATAGGTGAATGACAATGGAAACTGTAAAGAATTTCGCAAAGAGAATGGTTTCTAGTTTTTTTCCGGCTGCTGCTGTATTGAAACCTTTGCCAGCTTCAGCTGAAGATTTTGAGGCGGAACTGAGATCATTTCAAGACCTTGATCGGGACGCCGACCCACCACCTAGAGCAAAACTTTATCACTGCTTGCTATCAAGTGTAGACATCAAACGTCCATTTAATTCTACGATGATTTTGGTGGTAGGAAGTACTGGGGTTGGAAAGTCATCTACGATAAACCATTTACTTGATACAGGAGAAGGAATCCCTGTTGCGGTCACCAGTGGTTCTGAGTCCGAAACTAAAGCAACCAGCGAATACATTCTTACCACTGACGACTCGAATTACGAAGTTTGCGATTTAAAAATGGGTATTATAGATACACCAGGTTTAAACGATACTGCTGGTGTGAAGCAAGATGCTTGTAATTTTGTTTCGATAAAAAGATTTTTCGAAACACATCCAGGCTTACCTGAGCAGTCTACTTATCCTAATCTTGTATTTTTGGTGGTGAACGTGAATGATACACGGGTCAAGGGTGAGAATAGCAGTCTTTCAAAATGCCTTAGAGGGATTAAATTGCTTGAAGTGGTTGACACAAGACATCCAAATCTTGTTGTGGTTGTAACACATTGCTGTTCTGTTGGTTACAAAAATTTGAGTAAGTGGAGAGACAAGATAAAAGAAAAGAAAGATGCAATTTCGGCTACCGTGTTTGAAGTGCTTGGCGTCTTAGCACCTGTCGTATTGATAGAAAATGATTTTGAAAGCTATGATCTTAAGAAGGCAGGTGGTTTTACAATTCTTCCTAATGGCGACAGACAGCCTAAGAATTTATACGACGCCTGTGCAGAGCTGCTTGATAGAAATAAAGATCACTTTGGTCTGTTGGTGTTTAATTCTTGTTTCACAGGAGCAAAAAAGGATAGGCCAACAGGTCATAAAGTTGAGGCGAAAGATTCTAAAAGTGAAGAATTATCAGATGAAGAGGAAGAATTTGGAAATGCTTTTAGCGATGCTGCAAAAGGAGGTAGGAAAAAGAACGTTATAGGTATTTATTTTTTTACAAGTCAGCAGCGGGGGAATCCAAGCCTTTCCTGTAAACTGATCGCCAGTACCAGCGGGCGCGGAGTTTTACGATATGACGATATCTGATCGCGGTCCGGAATCATATATTTTATGCTCGAGCGAAAGCGTATTTTTGTCTTATTCGCCATTTCATTTGCCTTTTTTTTAAATATTTGGATCTAATGATTATCACGATAAATTGAACTGAAATTTAGTAAATTAAACATGCACATGAGGTTTTGATTGTTTATGTTTTTGTCGTCACTGCTGAGTCTGACTCACTGAGCTATACTATAATTCCTGGAGGACTTCCCGCGACCAAAAAGTGAAGCAAAAAACATGGCAGATTTCGGCGTTTGCTGACGCCAGATTGACGTCACTGGTTCCTATTCGCCATGGTAGTTACCACTTACCAAGCCTCAATTCTGAGCCCGCTATGCCTGATGCACTGCCCCCTGGTTTTTGCTAAAAATATATATATATAAAAATATATTATATTTTCCGAGAAAAAAATCAAACGTCTGTCTGAGTGTCTGCCAATATTTTTGAACTGAAAACTTTTTAATCAGATATGTTCGATGTTTTTGTGAAGATGTCGAATTCGTACACGTTACTCCTTTAACAGGAAACAAATAACAGATAAACTTCAGGAAATTAGCCGAAACGAAAATGCAGTTGACTGACAGGTAAATATATTATTCATAAATTTCATTTTTTTAGATAAAATTTCACCATCTTTTAGTCGTGAACAGTCTTTAGATAGATGTCGTTGTTTATATATTATTTGCCCAAAAACGGCGGCACGAGAAGTGAAATGTACAGGGTGTATAAAAAATATTCGAATCGAAATTTCGCGTGTAATAATGCAAAATATATTTAACAAATTTGGTTGATTTTTACACCATTGTTAAGTTCATTTATTTCTCTTTCAAATGACACATTGTACGTGTAATTCAGTTAGTTGAAAAATGAAGAAGTACTGGTTCGACAAAAAAGTTCATAAAAATCACCATTTTCCGCCGATGGGTACTGGACGTTGGTTTTATTGCAAATAAGTCCCAAAGGGCTTTAAAATCTAATCATTACTGAAAACTAAAACGCAAATTTATCGCAAAAATTCTGCTTATTCAATGTTCAACGATAGAAGTTTTAAGAACACAATGCCTCCATTAATTAAATTTGCATTTTCTTTTGTCTGGAGGTCTCATTTCGAATTCCCATCGGCGGAAAAATTTGATTTCGAGCAACAATTTTTAAAAGCCACGGCCAGTTTTGGTCGTGTCGATATAAAAACGGTATAATCGTAAACTAAATAAGCTAATCTTTGTTGCCATATAAAAATTATATCGTTTACCTTAGTATTTTATACACAGCAGCTTGTCAAAGTTGGATTCGAATTTTTTTTATACACACTGTATAGTTTGAATTTGAGCAACCTAAACACTTTTCTAAAAAGATTACCCTGTATACGTACTGGGAAGTAATTTATTTTTACATATTACATGCGTACTTCAGGCATTTTCTTCTAAAGAACGCTAAAAGGTAACAAGATGTAAAGAGCTTTGTACTTAATTGAACTAAAGGCTAAGAATCATTCAGGAGGATGAAGATGTGTAATTTCAACCAAGGGTTTCTATTGGATTTAACTGGATTTCATTAGCCAGAAGAAATAGTTTTTTCTGTACTGAACTATATCATCATACAGTATATCATGTATATTGATGAGCTTATTAGCTTGAACCTACAGTGATGAACTATTAAATTGAAAGCTTCCAGCTGTTCTATACACGTATTGACAACAACAAGAAGCCTTTTATTTGGCGCCAAAAGATGTGATGAACGCGAGGTAAACAGCCAATTTCGCCAAAACAGTCTAAAAACCCGTCTTGAATTGAGGTTGCAGATGGGATATTCTCAGGAACTTGGTATACTTGCTTGATCAGGTTTAGTTTGACAGATGTGTTTAGTCCGAGAATGGGAACTGAATCTGAGTCAACAACGATAAAGAGAACATATGCTGTTCGACCTTTGTGTTTCAGTCCACTTGTCTGAAACAGGAATGGGCGTGTCATTGTAGGCAGAAAGCTTTATTGTAGCGGGTTTGAGCTTGAGTTTGGGTGACAATTTGTGAAGTAGACACTTGGGAATAACGTTGCACTGAGCACCCGTATCCATCTTGAAAGGTGCATCAGCACCATTCATTTCGAGTGTGACGGACCAGTCCAGTTTCGTGTCACCAACTGTGAATACATTTGTTTCACCAGGCAAAGTTGCTGACTGGGAAGGATTTGCACGAGATTCATTGATACTGGTGACCATATCGATGGGGGAGTCCTTTTTAGCAACGCTTTTGACTTCTTTCTCCGGACAGCAGGATTCAAAGTGGTTTCTCTTCTGGCATTTGTAGCATCTTTTACGATATGCAGGGCAGTTTCCACGTTGGTCAGATCCACTGCAAAATTTGCACTTGTTGATCATGTCTGGGTGTGTGGATTTCTTGTCAGAATTTCGCGGTTGGTTATCCCTTCGACGGTTGATTTTGTGAACCTCAGAGGATTCTTGGTGTTCCTTGAGCTCTTTGGCATGAAGTTTTGTTTCTTCTGCTGCGTGACCGGCAGCAATTGCTTTTTCGAGAGTGAGATCGGCATCACGAAGAAGGCGTTTACGAAGTGTGTGGTCAGTCGTGCCGCAAACAATCATGTCTTTAGTTTGCGAGTCTGTCAAATCACCAAACTCACATTCAGAACTGCATTTCTTTAGCTCGGCGATGAAGTCGTTGAAGCATATTGGCCTTCAACAGTGGCGTCGCTAGCTTGATAAGTGAGGGGGACTTATTCATGTATTCGTTTTTACATTATTCATTTCTTTTCAAATTGATTGTTTTAACGGTCTGTGAGCATGAATATATGAATATGTCCACCCCACTTATCGATGCTGGCGACGCCACTGGCCTTCAACTTGCTTGTACGTGAACAATTTGTGACGCAGGATGGTAATATTTTTGCAAGGGTTGCAATACGAAGTGAACTTCTCTAAGACAGGCTTTAATTTGAGTTTTTCAGTGTCTTGCTCAAATGTGAAAGTTTCGTAAATGTCTCTACCTTTCGGTCCGATGCACGTAAGTAGAGTGGATGTCTTGATCTTATCACTTTTTGAGACTGATTTAGTGGCAGTAAGAAAGAACTGAAAGTGTTTTTGCCACGTTTTCCATCCGTGAGACACATTTCCTTCGAAGGAAAATGGAGGAGGCGGTCTGAGTTTGTCCATGTACCGGGTGGCGCAAAAAAATGTTCCTCCTCTTTGACTTAATTTAATTTAAAAACTAAAAAATATATCATTTTCAAGTAAAGTCTATTGAGTGGAGTGGTGTTTAACTTAAATTTTAATTTAAGCCTTGTACATTTCTATACAATATTAGGCAAGATATAGGCGTTTAAACTCAAGGTAGCGTTTCTGGGAGAAGCAAAAAATGTTCTAAAATAGAATGAAAACATCACGCAACAGTAAGAACAAATATTGATAGCTTCGTCTGGCAAATCCTCACTGTTTTTATGCTTGGAGATGGAATATTATTCCAATGATTTTGCCATCGACGTAAAACTTCTTTTGCATTGTTAGTCCTCGCATATTCCAAACAAATCCAAACTCGTTGCTGTATCGTTAAACGAGGCATGTTTATAACAAAGCGGGCAAGCTCCTTTGCTTTCGTTCCCTTGCGCATTGCAACTCCTTGTTCGAACGATGAACAGTATTATTTTAACATCAAATACACTTACAAGATACTTCGAATACCTTAATCTAAGAATCTTTAAACATGCAAAGACAACATACATGAAAAAAACGCTTTAAAAAACGCCTATCGTGGAAGTTGAAAATTACTTAGTTGAGTCGCGATATTTAGTCATGTTATTTGCTTCGTCAAAAAATGCACCTTTATTTTAAACGGCTCGATCTCGACCAATATTGTACAGAATTGTTCAAGACATATATCAAAATTTAAGTTAGACATTACAGCGTTCAACAAACTTTATTTGAATAAGATATCTGTATTAGTTTTTTAATTACGATAAGTCTAAGAGGGGGAACGTTTTTTTGCGCCACCCGGTAGAATCGAACGAAATAGATAACCAAAACAGTTCAAATCGGAGCGTGATATACTGAGAAATAATTCTGCTGTTCGTAAAAAAAATTGATATAGAGCGGTTATGACAATAAAATCCCACTTTTTGACACCATGTTATATACGCGTATTGACAACAACAAGAAGCCTCTTATTTGGCGTCAAAAGACCCACTAACATTAAATAACATACATCGCAAGGATGTTAAAAAACATACACTAAAGGGAGATTAGACAATAACATAATACCAGCAGTCAACACCATGCAGTGGTCAGCACTATAATTGTCTCACTGCACAGGCCATGCTCTTTTCATAGTATAAAACCAGTAATTATGGCCCCTGGGCAGGTCATATGCTTTTCTATATTTGCAAATTATAATGCAGAGGTTGCATTAAGGAAGATTAGAACCAGGGATGTTTGTAGGTCAAGATTTCCATTGTAATTATTATTGATTATATAATCCCAGATTAGCCTGGAATGACTGAAAAGGTTTATTGGAAATGAAATAAACAAAGCCTTATCAATTGTAATATATTTTCTTTTAATAAAACATTGTATTTTGTAAAAATAATAAAACAGTTTCTGTATTTAAGAATGTGTGTAGTTCATGTGTATAATAGTATGGTTGTCTCAATTCAATTCTCCAGAATTTTGCATAACATGCAATGTCGTAAAAACCAAAAAATGTCGTAAAAACAAAATCTTGTTTTTATCGAAAACTATATAGGAGGGTGCTCGCATTTTTTCATGCGTTGGATCGCGGTTGGTCAGTGGTAACTACCATTGCAAATAAGAACCAGTGGCGTCAATCTGGCGTCAGCAAAGGCCAAGATCCGCCATGTTTTTTGCTTCACTTTTTGTATTTCAAAACATTAGGGGCCAGCGGCGTAGCCAGCCTTACGATTTTGTCCCGCTATGTAAATTTCGAGTTATTATAATTATTCATGCCCTTAGAAATCTATTGTTTTCACAGTCAGTGAACACTAAAATATTAGCATAGCGGGACAAATCGACAGGCTGGCTACGCTACTGTTAGGGGTAAGTCCTCCAGGAATTATAGTATAGCTCAGTGGTCTGACTACACAATGATAATACGACTGAACGCCGCCTTTTGTAAAAAATTGAATATATATTTATAAAATTAAATCTGTTCTTATGTCGACATTTTACAAAAAGTTCAGTTCTGTTATTTAATGTTAAAGTTTTAGATTCGCATGTGCGGAACCGACATTACTGTTGTTGATATCTAAAACCCTGTAATGTGGTTCGTTTGTGGAAAAATTCACGGCGAAAAAGCAGAATCTCTTCCCTACTTTTCATCTCTTCGCCCGCTTTTCATCTGCGCCCCTCGCTTTTCTCTAGATTGAACGTGCGTACGACGCCATCTCTTGTCCAGTAATCCCAATCGTAACGTTTCAGGTGATGTTATCATTAAGAAAGACCGTTTTAATTGGTCAAAAATTGATTTCAGGTTTGAATCCAATGGCGATTTATGCGATGGAATATGTTAAAGAAAACAAACTTGACAAAACACAACAGGAGAAAGTTTTAAAACTGGGGACCTGGATGAACTCTATGGGTTTGTCAAAGGAAGAGAAATTACAGTCTGTAACATTGGCAGCAATATATTGTCTTTATGACGGGGAGATTACTGACCATTGCATCGAAATGCTGAAACAGAAATTTGGAATTAGAAATGGAAGTAATTCGTATACTTCAGGTATTGATTAGACATTAAATATTTTTATGTTTTCATCAATTATTATGCTTTTATTAATTGAAGTGTTCATAGCTGGAAATCATGTAACCATAATTATGTGCAAGCTATCTGCTGTACCAGAACAATATTAATGACTGAATTACTAAGATTTATAACTACAAAACTACGCGCAACAAAACACAGAATCGTGTGCAATTTAGGTTATTAGGCCCAAGCATCACATATCTCGGCATACGTGTAATCCATCGATAAAATGCCAGAAACGTAACGAGAACGATGATTGCGGGTTAGTATTCAGTTCTGTCCCACAGATTTCTATTGTAAGTGAAATTGGAGAATTTTGAAGCAAGGCAATTCAGCCATTGAAATCCAGAGTTTGCCAAATAGGAACATACAAACCGTGTCTTAAGGCTGTTACCCGACATGAACCCGCTTACCCGAGATTCGACGAAACATGAGATGATTTTGAGGTATTGAGATAAGTTTTTGTGAGAAAAAAACAAGCAGATGATATTGTCGGGATGACTTCACCAGTGCCAGGATCATATAATTTATTTATATTCCCAAGGCAAAACATTTTACGCTTCTTTTAAACTCGGATACGCTAGGTGGATCATGTATAAACATCCCCTTAAGATCGATTTTGTTTCTTATAGCTGAACTTGTTGGCCGAGGATATAATATCTTATTAGACAAAACCGTCTCCGCTGATATTTTCAAGTTTTCGGCTGACAGTGTAAAACGAACGAAATATGGTTTTAATGTCCCGGCTTGTGCTCAAATCATCAAAGCCAATGATACCCAAGAATTTCAAATGAACTTTCAGTCCGATAAATTGTGCGTGGAGAATAGATTAAAAAATCTCGGTTTAAGCCTGGATTTTGCACAGAGCATGATAAGAATGGCGCCCAAGTTCAAAGCGAGTGCAAATCAGAAGGAAAATGGCAGCAGCAAGTCTACCAGGACCACCAAGATATCATTAAAAGAACATCGAATTGCTAAGATTCTTATTGGAAATTTTGAGTCCCAAGAGATCTCCTTCACAGATGATTTTGTGTCTGCTGTTAAAAAATTACCTGACCAATACACAGGCGACGAAAAATGCAAGGACGATTTTATCAACTTTTTCAATCGTTTCGGTCATTTCGTGGTCACTTCAGCTTATTTTGGCGGAGCGGTTGAGGTAAAAACTTGTACTGAAGGTTTAGAATCATCAAAACAAGGTGATGACTCAATAGATGGATCAGTTGGTGCGGATCTAAGTGGAGTTATCGGAGCTAAAGTGGGTCCCAAGTACCAGGTATCGACAGAGAGTGCAAAGAATACTGTCTTGGATAAAACCGAGACACGGTGGTATGGAGGTCGGAGTGACCTGCATAAAAAAAGCACACTACACTCTGAAGAGAACTTCCAAGAGTGGAAACTGTCCCTCTCCAAAGAGCCAGCGATGTTGACGACTGAAATGACTCTGGAGAATATTTCTACTGTGGTCGCCATCATTGATAAGAAGAAAGGAGAAGTTTGCAAACAAGCACTGCGTAGTCTTTTTGATGATAAAGTTCTACAACCTGTTCGTGATCAAAAAGAGAGATATCAACTGGAGGAAAGAAAGAAGAAAGATAAAGACGACGAAGAGCAACGTAGAAAAGAATCAAACACGAGAGAAGAATCAATAAAGCTGCCTGATACTAAGGGATGGCGGGAAACCATCACAGGAAATGTTTACGCAATCGGTGCAGGAGTTCTTGTGGTATTAGGTGTTGGTGTTGTGGCTATATTCTCAAAGCGCTGAAATTACCATATATGCATGTTAATTGTAAGTCTCATAAATCATATATAAGCAAAGGACATGCAGTATTGTTAGTCACTACCGTATGAGGCATGTATAGTAGCTAGTATGCTAATATTGTTGTATGTAGGTAATTTACATATCAACTTAGTTTTAGCTATTTTAGTTTTTAGGTCTAGTTAATAAATTGACTAGCTTTGATACTGTTTCAACGCTGTAATCACCCCTGCGAGCAGTAGCGTAGCCAGCCTGTCGATTTGTCCCGCTATGCTAATATTTTTGTGTTCACTGACTGTGAAAACAATGGATTTCTAAAGACATGAATAATTATAATAACTCGAAATTTACATAGCGGGACAAAATCGTCAGGCTGGCTACGCCACTGCCTGCGAGAAACCATCCTAGAGCGATTTTGATTTGTTCGTAGACTTCGTGCCGCCCACGCGCGATTTTCGTAAACTCACGACGCAAAAGGAAAAACCCGAGTTATTAACACTTATTATTTTTTTACTGCGACCGAAGGAAACATTATGTTTTGTGGACCCGAGACCAGTCGATATTTCACGAGGCGAAGCGGTTTTTTATTATACCACTTGTCAAAGAAAAACCAAACTACAAGGTAAACAACGAAATATCTATTCATAAGACATAATCTCAAATGGATAAACAGTCTAAAGGTCGCACGCAGGGTGCTTCTATTTAAAATCGCTTGTTTCTCGATTGAATCCAACTGTTATATGCCGTGATAGTCAGTAAATGAAACGGATTCTTCTCGATTAAACGTGTAATTTTATAATATAAATACTCGCCATTTTGGCTTCGTTAACAGCCACCACCGAGCTGTAGGAGCCTGGTATTTAACCTAAAGCTAACTATATCACATACACCAAATGGTACTAAATCCCATACATTACATCCCTCCTTTTCCAGAAAGAGTTTCTAAATAAAAAACAATCTATAAAGTTTCTATCCCTTTTTGAATTCATTTTAAAGTTTTGTTCTCTTTTTTTTCCATAGTTTAAGATTGCCCTAAAGTTCATCATTTCAAATGTACTTATTTACCATACAACATAACTAGAAATTACAATATCCTACTAACTAGAAGTAATTTCAATGTTCATAATCGTTTAGATAACTAGGTTTCTTTTTAATCCTATCTGATCGTCTTAACGGAACGTTTTTCTTAGCGATACTCGCCTGTCCTACTCCCTCTTCTGGAATTCTTCTGTCTTCACCTGCTGTTTCTTGCTGCGTTGACACGAAATCTTGCACCTCTGTCTCAATGGTCGTTTGTTGAATATCGTTATTTCCTATACTGGTAGGTGACTCCACTTGTTCTGTATCAATTTCTGACTGACACTCTCCTTCAAAATCTTCTAGAAACTTTTTACAATGTGAGGTATTGCGTGAATATTGTACTCCATCTTTCGATTGGACTACCAAACTATTCCCATGTTTCCTCACCACCGTAAAAGGAACAGGATTGAATCGGGTTGAGAATTTATTCTTCCTCTCTTGCTGAACCAAGACTTTATCACCTGGACAAATATCGGAGTAACAAGCCCTTCGTTTGTCATCAGCATACTCTTTACTTTTATTCTTCTGCTCATGATCTCGATCTCTTACTTCCAGATCAACATACACATCCCGAAGTTCTGGCAAACGCGTTCGTATTTTCCGCCCAAACAACAATTCCGCAGGGCTCACTCCCGTAGTGGGATGGGGTAAACTACGATAAGAGGACAGATATACATTTCTTTCCTCCAATCTTTCTTCTCTACCTGTGCGATCTGGATTCTCTTCAACAGTGACCGATTTTGTCGTTCCACCTCGCCGTTTGCTTGGGGCCACTTCGCAGTAACTCTTCGGTGTCGAATTCTTTGATAATCCATATAGGCTTTGAACTCAGAAGAGATAAATTGAGGTCCGTTATCTGATGTAATACTTTCTGGAAGACCATATCTACAGAAGACTTCTTCAAGACTCTCGATTATCTTATCAGTAACAGTTGATCTCATGATAACAACCTCGTAATAACGACTGTAATAATCGATAATAACCAATATTGATTCTCCTGTCGGCAAAGGTCCTAACAGGTCAACAGCTAAATCTCTCCATGGGCCACTAGGAAGAGTAGTTGTTCTAATGGGTTCTACAAAATCAGGTCGACTAACCAATTGGCACCCATGGCATGCCTTACAATACTTCTCTGCATCCTTTTCCATTCCTGGCCACCAAACTTTACTTCGAAGCTTTTGTTTGGTTCCCACAATACCGAGATGCCCCTCATGAGCCAAACTCAGCACCTTAGGTCTCAATTTCTTCGGGATAACCACTCTCGTTCCCCTGAGTACCAGTTGACCAATTACACATAACTCATCACAACACGGAATGTATTGTTTGTAGGCCATTTTGTCCCATGAACTATCATTTATAGACTTTCTGACTGTCGCAAGTTCTTCGTCATCCGCAGATGCTTCTTCAACTTCTCGAGTTGTCATCGCGCTAGGCGTCGCCATCACTGCTACGAACCGCACATAACTTTCAACTTCTTCTTCATACTCGCTGAAGGTTTGACGGCCATTTATCAATCTTGATAGCGGATCAGCAATATTCTTTGATCCCGGGGCATATTTTACTTTAAATTGATATGGTTGCATTCGCAGCACCCACCGCTCTATACGTGCACAAGGCTTCGATTTTGGCCCATAGATGACCTCTAACGGCTTGTGATCTGTGATCAATTCAAATTGAATCCCATATACATACTGGTGGAACTTCTCACAGGCCCAGTAAGGCTGCGACTTGCGTAGCTTACAACTCGTGGACCATCTTTCTGGGTCTGTGTCAACACCGCCCCTAATCCAACTGGACTTGCATCAGCAACTACTTGAGTTGGTGCATCTTTGTCAAAATAACCAAGTGTTGTGGAACTTGATAACAGATTCTTTAACTCTTGAAATGATTTCTTTTGCTTCGGCCCAAAACTAAATGGTACTCCCTTCTTTGTCAGACATCTTAAGGGTTCTGATATGGTTGCCAAATCAGGGATAAACCGACCACAATAATTAACCAGCCCCAGAAAGCTTCGCACTTCTGATGCTGATTCTGGTTCTCTAGCTTCGACTACTGCTTTCACCTTTTCTTCTGTGCAGCTAATACCCTTTTCAGACAAGACCATTCCAACAAATGTCAGACGATCCATGCTAAATTGGCACTTCTCAACATTCAGTGTTAACCCAAAATCTCTCAATCTCTTGACAACATTCTCTAATCGAGTGTCATGTTCCTTTTGGTTCTGTCCGTATACAATAATGTCATCAGATATATTTACTTGCCCCTCTAATCCCGCAAGTGCTCTCTGAATTTCATGCTGATATTGCTCCGATGCAGAATTGACTCCAAACAATAGTCTTTTATATCTGTATAATCCACAATGGGTGACAAACGTGGTGATATCTCTCGATTCAGGAGTTAGTTCCAACTGATGGTACCCCCACTTTAAATCAAGCTTACTAAAGACACTGCTTCCATTCATGCCTTGTGTAATCTCATCAACTGTGGGAATGGGATGCCTTTCACGCATAATAGCCTCATTCGCTCTGCGCATATCAACGCAAAGTCTTATCTCCCCATTTCGTTTCGGAACTATTACCACTGGATTGACCCATGATGTTGGACCTTCCACTGGTTCAATAATATCTAGATTTATAAGTTCATTAATCTTTTCTTCAACTTTGGGTCGCAAACTGAACGGAATCCTTCGAACTGGCTGGGCTACTGGCTTTACTTCTGAATTAATATGAAGTTGTACTGTCCGACCTTTCAACTTACCAACGGCTTTAAAAACTTCTGGATATTTCGTCTGAATAATTTCTTCGACATTCTGTGGTTTTGACCTCACTGAAGCAATATCCATGCCCATCTTTAGAACTCCAAGTTTCATGGCTGTATCTTTACCAAGGAGTGACTCTCCTTTCCCAGAAATGACACAAATCTCTGCATCAGAGGTACGATGACCAACAGAAACTTTGCAATTAAATGTCCCAATTATCTTCAATGGTTCCTGTGAAGCATAGGTATAAAGTTTCTTTTCTGAACGAGTTGACGTACAAACGACTCGGTTCTTTTTCAGCCATTCCCAAGTTTGCCTATCAACGATGTTAACACTGGCACCAGAGTCAATAATCATATACAATGGACATCCTCCAACACTAACTTCAACTTTCTCTGGTTTGGTACTTCCCACAATAAATGCATATACTGGATCATGATCATCTTCCTTCGGATTTACCGCATTGACAGTTCCCTTACGCTGCGAGTGTCGATTGATGTTATGTCTTTTCTCTTCCTTGGGCTTCGTCTCCTCTTGCTGGACAGCTAAGATCTTTTCCGAAATGACCAGTTTTGCCGCATCTGTAACAAGTTTTATCTTGACCCATTCTCTGTTTTCTATTATGGCTATGCCCACCATCTTTTTTCCCTGTTACATAATTCACAACTTCACCACCGTCCTGTTTCACTGCCGACATGGCTGTCAACTGTGAGTTAACTTTCTCACAATTCTCAGCAATTTCTAGTGCTCGTTGTAGGGTTAGTCCTTGACCCTCCTCTAAAAGTTTCCTTTTAATATATGAACTTATACATTTGCAAAGGATTTCATCACGGATTTGATTGTCCGTTTCCTCTCCATAATCACAGTCTTTTGCAGCTCGTCTTAACCTAGTTGCAAATTGGCGGACAGTTTCCCCTGGTGCCTGAGTTAATTTTCTAAAACAATGCCTAGCATATGTCGTATCGACTTTTGGAATGAAATACTTATTCAAAGCGATAATAGCTTTATCATAATCTTCAACATCACCTGTTTCCGGTAGGGTTGAAAATATGTCCTGGACATCTGGTCCTGCTAGATGTAACAATAAGGCACGTCTTCTCTGTTTAACTGTCGCATTATCTCTTGTAATAATTAAACCTTTACCATCTGCATATAATTCGAAACCCGATAACCACCGTTTCCATCTTAACCCAAGTGTTTCGGGATCTCGAAAACAGTCAAACGTTTTAATACTATTATTGTCGTTTTCCTCCATGTATTTCTTTTATTAATTGTTTAAAACTCTTCTACAAGTATTGTTTCTCCTCGTCGCCAATGTTATATGCCGCGATATTCAGTAAATGAAACGGATTCTTCTCGATTAAACGTGTAATTTTATAATATAAATACTCGCCATTTTGGCTTCGTTAACAGCCACCACCGAGCTGTAGGAGCCTGGTATTTAACCTAAAGCTAACTATATCACATACACCAAATGGTACTAAATCCCATACATTACACCAACGAGCTCAAAGTTTTAAAATTTTTGGCATTTGGGAGCAAAACTTCTATCATTCATACTGTTAGATATTTCGTACCAAGATAATTATAGAGTATTAAATGACGACATTAATTAGCATAGAGACATTATTTGCATGCCAGAGTTATAATCCGTAATATATGACGATGTAAGTTGAGAGGTAGATTTAATTGTGAGCAGTGATTGTGAGTGACAGAGTGAACTTTGCAGTGATCGTGTTTAATTCGTTATATTTATTAAACTATACACTAACATTTCCAACACTAAGTGGCACTTCCGACGGGATACAACATTTGAACATGTCTGAAGAGAGTGAGGAAGCTAAACTGGTGGCAGATCTAAATGCCAAACTAAAGCATTTGAAGTTTACTCGGGACAGAACTAATTCGATCGTGGAGGGTTTGAATATTGTGGCTATGGAGCGTCAACTGAAAGCGTTGAACTCTGTAGTAGACGAGGTTGATTCGTTGCGGAGAAAAATCGAACAGTCAAAGTTTGGAAAGGGCGAAGAACCAGATGCGGTAGCCAAATGGGGCGAAGAAGTCGACGCGGAGACAAGCAAAACCGATGAGGTGATAACTACGTTAAACGTCACCATGAACGAGGTAAGATCAAACCAATTTGTTAAAGATAGAGAGATAGAGCATGCATTAAAAGAAAAGGAACGAGAAGAACAGTTAGTCTTCGAGAAACGTCAACTTGAACAGAAATTAGCTTATGAGAAAGAACTCGAAGTAACTCGGAAGGCGCAAGGACAAGGTCATACTCATGAATCGAAACCGCACAAACCCAATTCCAAACTTCCAGAGTTAAAAATTACTAAGTTCGACAGGCAAGTGAGCAAATGGCTAACATTCTGGAACAAGTTTGAGGCGGAGATTGATAAGTCCGACCTTGCGCCAACTACGAAACTCGCATATCTGAAAGAAATGCTCGAACCAGAAATACGTAAGGAAGTAGACGGGTTACCTTTTTCAAGTGAAGGGTATTTACGCGCCAAAACAATCCTGATCAGTGAATACGGTAAAACCAGCGAAATCGTAAACGCGTATATCCAAAATATAATGAATTTGCCAGTAATTACTGGGGTCCAGCCCTCCAAAGTACACGAGTTTTATAAAACCTTATTATTCAACGTGCAGTCATTAGAGACCTTGGGCAAACTTAATGATGTCAAGGGCAATGTGCGATTCGTCGTTGACAAGCCTAAAGGGATTAAATCGGAGTTGGTAAGGGGCCATAGTGGGTGGCAAGATTGGGGTTTCTCACAACTAGTAACAGCACTCGAGATGTGGAAAGATATAAATCCAATTGAGGCAAGCGATGACAGCAAGAAGATGACATCACGCTATTACCAAACACGTGATCATCCCACACCACCCGGGAGGTGTGTATACTGCAATAGTGAAGCCCACAAATCGATTGACTGTGACAAATTGAAAACAGTAGATTACCGTACGGTTCGAATCGCGTCTCATTAACACTGATGAAATACATTTGCTTATATCACGACAAAATTAACATGCATTTTCAGAGTAAATCTTGTTTAAATTCTTAAAATCAAGATTAAAACACACATAAATATGCTTATTTTGATATACTGCACTTCGTTTTGAATCACAGACATTTATATTCATAAAAACATGCCGCATGTCAAAAAAAATTAAAGAACTTATATGACATTAGCTAATATTATATCTCAACTGTAAATCATCCAATCAGAAAGCTCGATTTGTACCACGTGATCAGTAAATTAATCATGGAGTTCCATCGAATTTTTTCACATTATGCTATAAAGTCGAATACCCCGCTGCAGCGGGGTATTCGAGTTTGCGTGTACCACGCGTGAATGCCTCGCGCACGACTCGAGGTTGTCAACAATTTCAAAATGGAGGCAAAAGAAGCCATTTCACCCACACGTTGTTTCGATATAATATATAATTTATAGACCTTCCGCTCGGGGAATTCGACGAAATATTACCCCCTCGGGAAAATCTCCCCTTGGGGGTAATATTTCGTCGAATTCCCCTCGCTCCAGGTCTATAAATGTAATAGCTAAAAGCGAATGTTTGTCAAATACCAATGGTAATCTTTCTATGGTTGCCGAAATGGTGCAAAATTCAACATATAAATATTCATTCACATTCAACAAACACATTTCACATTCAACAACACTTGAACTTACACAAAGTATTGAAGAAGGAGTCTGGAACTGGTTTCATTAAAATGGGGTAGTTACTTTAAGTGACCCCTCTTGAAGTGTATCATAATTCCTAATTTTACTAGGTCTATAGCCTAACATATTCAACAATAGACCTCCATAACATAGCCGTCCGTAGACCTCCATAGCACTCCATAGCATTCCATAGCATTCCATAACGTTCCATAGCACTCCATACGCCTCCATAGCACTCCATAGCACTCCATAGGCCTCCATAGCCCTTAATAGGCCTTCATAGGCCTCTATAGCACTCCATACGCCTCCATAGCCCACCATAGGCCTGGCACATAGCACCATAGCACCATAGGCCTCCATAGCACTCCATAAGCCACCACCATACCACTCCATAGGCATCCATAGGCCCCTCCATAGCACTCTATAGGCCTCCGCATACGGTATAACTCACATGCATGTGGTACATTTCATTCCGTTCGCTTTTTTCAAGCGAGGTTCAAAAATTGTATTCTTTTTAAAAAAATAGTCTGAGCATTTCTGTTACATTCCTGTTATTTGCAGTTGTTTCCTTTCTAATGAAGATACTAATGTATTAATATTTTCAGCTAGGTGTATACATGTATGTTAATATATATTTTTAAAAGAATATAATTGAAAACTAATGACAGTGCATAAGCTGAAAATACAGATGTATATTCAGATACTATGTTGGTCATACGCACAAGTGATAATAAATTCGTGAAACCGTTTAAAAATCTGTATGTTCGTCTAAACGAAAGAATATTTTAAACTCGGTTCTTGGTTAACGATATTCGCCAAGGTTCATTTAATTGCTTCCGTAGCAGTGGCGGATCTAGGGGTGTGCAGAATAAATTACTACAGCTTAAAATCGGAATCGCATTGGCAGATTTTCATTTAAAAATATTATTTTCAATTATATCTTTTATATATAATATAAGTTCTTATTATATATATATATATATCAAGAGCCATAATACAAAGATCCAACGTGAAACACGCGACGCCAACGACGAATCCCCAACTAATAAGTGCAACTGCCCCGTCAAATCCGATTGCCCAATTAATGGAGAATGTAAGACCAGTAATATAGTATACGAAGCAACAGTAACAGCCGAAGATCAAACCACAAGAAACTATATTGGTATGACAGAGCACCGCTTTAAAACCCGATACGCCGATCACAAGCAATCCTTTAAAAAGAAGAAATACGCAACAAAAACATCGCTGTCGAAGTACTTCTGGAAATTAAAGGAATCAGGAATAAAGTATCATTACCAGAAATTTGCGACATGATAATTTGCATTTATACTAATTTGCATTTAACTTTCAGCATAATGGCCTTCAACTTTTACTATTAAATACATATAGTAAATATACAAAACCTTAAAATGTCGTTGCCCTAGACCTTGCCCACTGTTTGCCGACCTCTGAGTCAATAGAACAGCCGTTTCCCAACGTTTTAATGATCGAATTACTTACCTTAGGTATTTCTACGTTCGGCCAACTGATTGTGAACAAATGTGTATATAGCCTTCGTATTGTTCAAGTTCCTGATAAGACTGATAATATTTTTTAAAGTGATTGCAGTGAAAATCCGAGCCGTATACAGAAAAGTTTATACACAAATACGAAAGACAATATCTTTAACAACTTTTTTTGGTATATTACACGTCAATTCATCAACTACCTGAATCGAAATATTCGAATCAATGTGAGCGACTTTATAAGTTCGTTGACAGAACACGGACAAAACTTTGAGCAATATATTTTTAAATTTGGCAGATTACAGAAATGCCCAAGCAAAAAAATTCGGCCACCAAAACGTTTCTAAACAGCTGCTCGACCGATCTAGACGTCGGCAAACAGTAGGCAAGGTCTAGGTCAACGGCATTTTTAAGTTTTGTATATTTACTATATATATTT